TTAAATCAGATGGTAGTGCTACTTCTGGGTGAGTTAACTAAGGTGTTATGTGAGAAGTTTTTTTGTCGTTTCTTGGGAATTAGTTGGATTGACATTTAAGTAATCAGCGGTTAACTGTTAGTGGATTATATCAGTTGTTTTGATTAGCAAATTGTGTTAATTGTTTTGACCAACGGATTGGATTAGCGGTTTGTTACAAATTGTTTGGTAAATTAGTTGTTTGCAAATAGTTGTTAACATGTAAAATTACTTAAAAAGACATTCATAAACTTAATTTCTTTTTAATGTTAAATTTGTAATTACTTAGAAAATGCAAATTATTCATATAAAAAACAAACACAAATAATAATTAAAATGACAACACTTCTTAATTGAATAAATAAGTTTGCATCATAAAAAAGAATAAATAAGATTGCATAGTAGAAATTAAGCTAATAATAAGTCATAACTAGTTAAAAAGTGATGAAATGTTTTGCTCTTTATTTCTGCTGCGGGCAAGAAATCCAAAAGTTATGAAAAAAAAGGGCAATTGTGACCTAATATGTTTCCTCCTCAAAACGCCTATCTGAAACGCTCGACTTAGTAGCGTTTTTCTTTTCAGCTGTTGGGCCAAAAAAAGCTGATGCAAAAGTTATTTCACCAAACAACCTTTTTTAGTGGATTTGGAAAAGTCAAACAGCTATATGGATCAAAAAGCTAATTTTTGGGCAAAAGGCTATTAAGCAAACAAGCTCTTAGTTTATGTAACAATCGTATGCCGTTAGGAAATCAAAAGTCGCTTTTTGGATTTTAATACTATGTTGATGTTCGGATTCACCAACGCGATTGTGGCAAGTGAATAAATTACAATTTCAGAACAACACCAACGAAAACAAGAATTCAACGACAAGTGGTAATTACAATTTAATAACAACAAGATGAAAACAAGAATTTAATGCTTGGGTCTAATGCACTTGCACGTTTTTATTGCTTGTATATAGTGTTTTATATTTTTTTCAGTATTTTTTCATGTCCTTTAACCTTTTGAAGGTTCTTACAATTTAAAATAGATAGAAAGTGAAAAATCATCATGACCTCTTGATTAGTCATTGGACACGTGGCATGCGCTTAGGGGGTCTGCTGCAAGCAAGATGATTACTGGCAGCCTATCTTCTTGATGAAGATGAGACAGGTATCATATTTGTGGTTGGTAATTCCGTTCATACTATACGACGTTAGTAGGTTCTGTGCGGCAATTGTTTCACATTGAATGGTGAGATCGACACGAAGTAAGCTTGGCCTGATTTGAGATCGGCGTGAGGGAAGCTATGTCCTGTGGTTGGTGTCGATCGATATCAAGATTTTGTTCACAAACGCAGAGTGTAATGTGGCTCTGGGATGCGCAGGAAGCCGATATGGCTTTGGGATGCATGGGGTGTCGATTTGGTGGAAAACGAAAATTTAATTATGATCCGAGGTGTGATAGTGCCCTACGTCACCACTATTACAAGTTTATCTAGATCGGTAGATAATACATATAACAAATGACCCCCAGGTTTTCGCGACCAAGGGGTAATTGGGCGTAGAAAATTGTATGTTCCGAAATTTGAATTTGTCGACGTGTCACGTGTACGGGACGAATAATTATTGTCGATGTTTGAAGTCCATAAATGAGAAGACGTGTCTTAAATGGTCAACTCACTATTGGAGGAACAAAATTCCTTTATTAATGGAATAAAGATCGTGTCCTTTCGGATCATTAAATGCAGATGCAACAGTTACTTAAGTGGAGAGAGGAAAACTCGTGAAAGGCGAGTCTGACTTCTACATGCATGACACATATCCCAGAGAAAACCGTTGGCATTTGAAACACCGCATCTTTACAAAACATTCATGAGTCATCATTATGACACGTCAATCAAGGTTGTGACATAAAAAGTTGCGCCTTTCCTGACTGGATCCGAGGGTACTATAAATAGGTAGAGGTGAATTATTTTTTCTTTTTCACTTTTGCAAAACCATAATTTCCTTAAACGAGAAAATAGAGAAAATTCATAGTGACCTTCAATCTCCGATCAACATTTCGCTTCTTAGAGAAAGCTTTTCCAGGTACTTACCCTTTATTCTTCTTACGTGTCCAACCACGTACCGAAGTATGTCTTTCATCACGAGAAAACTAAGAGGCAGGTTTGAGGGCAGAGGCTAAAACGCAGTGCTGACGCAGGAGGGTTACTTGAGTAGACTGTTGTTTGTAGTGTTTTTGTCGAGTACGGTCGTAAAGACCAACCTCATGTCATCTCTCGAAAAAAGATTGTTCTGGCACGAAGTCAAGCAACGATTGATTCACAAGAAAGAAAAAAATAGAGGTACTAAACACTCTACTCGCAATTTGGGGGTTGAATTAAGCTAATGTTGCAACTTTGCGCTAAAATAAAAGCAAGACTCCAACTTTAACAAGCAAGACGCAAACATTAATGCACGCAAGTCCTCAAATTGCAATGAAAAGGGAAAAAGAAAGAAAAAGAACTAAAAACCCTAAGAATTTAGGTGGAAAGAAGACACTAATAGGTCCAGAAACACATAATCAAGTAATCGTCACTCGCGAATGAACTAATCGACCTCTCAATCAATCCTCGCTCACACAAATCAACAAAAAAATTATATATTTACTAGCCTACGAGGATGATAGCATATTCTAGTCATGAAATATCTTATCTTTACCCTAGAATATCTAATAAGTAAAGATAAGAAAAACTTACGAGATATTGGACATTAAACTAAGTCTCCAAGTCACTAGTAACATCCACGAGATGAAATAAGGCAGAAAGTTGTCATCTTGAAAGAGATATATAATAAAAATTGGGCATTGGAATCCTTAGAGACAAAAGGAAAATAGAGAGAGAGAGAGGGAGCGACTAAAAGGAAAATTTTGCAAAATGAATAATTCTTCCCAAAATAAAAGGGATTAAGTCTATTTATACTACTAGCTAAAATGCACATTGAAAATACACATTTAATGAGAAACACTCGCGGGCTATAGGGAATTTGTGGGCAGTTTTCACGGGCAAAGCTGGAACTCGCGACATGGGCATGACCTCACTGGCTAATGGGCAGAAACTCGCGGGCAAAGCTTGAACTCGCCGCCTGGGCATGAACTTGCGGACAGATAAGCAAATACTCGCGAGCAAATGCGGGCGACATCGGCTAAGAACTTTTTCGGTGAGTTTTCGCTTAATTTATTGGTAACTTTCCGACATATTTTCTGGAGCACATTTTTCTACAAAATAAAATATAAAAAGAGAAATAAAAAGTACAAGACACCAAGACGACAATAAAACACATAAACAAACAAAAACGACTAAGTGGACTGAGTAAAACCTAAAATAAAATAAAACGAACACAAATAAAACACTTTAAAACACATAAAATACAACAAAATATACAAAATAATTATCTTTGGAAAATGTGGTCGTCGTGGGGCACGTAACTTTAGTAAAACAATCAGTATGGTGATGGACATGGACATTGTGAAGTTGCTGGAAACCCTGGAGGTGCCTGCATCAATACGATTTGTGTTGTACGTCGGAAAAGGGCAAATTGTCCCACGCCTCCACCAGCTCGCCTAGGCCTCACCTCAGTAGCCCATCGCGGCCCCCGCATTGACCCACGTGCCTCCGAGAAGTCCGCGCCTGCACGCCCGCTTTGCCAGTCTTCATCGCCGCTCCCGCGGAATCCTTCTGCGCCTGGACACCGCGGCCTAGGAGAAGGTTGCGCCCGTAGAGCAGCACATCACTTCGACCCGTGCGAGGTCGCGCCCGCGGAGCGCCTCTGCGCGTGGGAGCTCGCGACTGCGGAGGAGATCCACGGCCCGCGGAGGGCGCGACCAATTTTTTTAAAACTCCCGTTTTTTCTCGATTTTTGGCAAGGTTGTCAAACCGGACCGGTCATCGAACTGATCAAGCTATTGATTCAATGGTTCATTGGTCCGACCAGTGGTTGAACCGATTTGACCGTTATTTAATTTATTAATATTTTAAAATATATATAATATTTCATAAATATGGTTAACTTAATTTTTAAGTTATTTAAAAGATTGGTCCAACTTTACACACATTAAGCAATAAAATAATAAACAAAAATATGGAAAAGGATTCCTCCCACTCCCAAATTAAACACTAAAAATAATAGGACAAAAGTAAAAAATATAGCAATAGAAACCTCGTGCAGGATGTCACAATTCAACAATTGCAAATTGGAATTCTTACTAGGTCTCACATTGGCTATCATTTGAACAATAGGAATTCTTACTTTGTCCCACATCGGCTATCATAAGTTCATAACAGGTAAGGTGATCTATAAATGTGTTAGAAATTATTTGGAGTACAAAGAAAAAACAGACCGGTTGAACCAAACGGTTTTTGGACGGTTTTGTCCGGTTTTAACCGGTTCAACCGGCAATTGACCGGTTCTTCTAACAACTGGTTCATTTGAGAGAACCGAACCGCTGGAGTGGCTGGTTCCTGGTTCAACCGGTTGGACCGGCCGGTCCAATCCGATTTTGATAACTATGATTTTTGGAGCACTTTTCATCGGGACTTGTTCCCAAACCCCCCAAAAAAAAACACCTCCAAAACCCCTTTTTTAGTTTTTACCCAAAAAATCATTGAATCTTCTTTTGGATTTTCTTTTGATTTTTTCTTGTTTTCGGACGAAACTTATAATTTGGATTCAACATTCGATTTTTCAAATAATCTTAAGTCTTCTCTTTTCATTTAATTGATGAAAATAATTTCTTGGGTTGAGATGTTTAATTGTGTTGAATTTAATTTACATATATAAATCCGATTGGTAGGGATAGGGGATAATTGTTCTTGTTCGTTTATTGGGCTTTGAGTTGTTCATTATAGTGCGAGTTGTTTTGAAAAGATTTGATAATTTCATGCTTGGAACTAGTTGAATATAATTGAAGAGTGACACTTCAATCTTGAAATTCAGGCCAATTGGATATTGTTCTTTCGAGTTAGAGTTTTCGATTCTAAACGATTAGTCAACTAATCATCTTTTAATTTAATTAAAGAACTTTTAGAACCGAAGGGGAGAAGTTGTAGACCTAAACTCGCATTAGATAGATGATTTTGTAAAAGAATAATCTATTGGTTTTTGGATTGAAATACATGCTCGTTTACGCCTGTTCCCTAATTACGTGAGTTATTTGTATCGAACCCTAGGCCGGCGTGTATGCTTGAACTTTGTCATCTATGTTCAATCGCTTATTACAAAAAGTTATTGGAAGGGAATCGCTAAGTGATCAAGGGAGAGTGTCAATATTGAACCGAACAATTATTTGCTCGGTTTTGTGTTTCGGACTGAATAAATTATTCCCGACTCCCTAGCTTCTTTATTAGTTTGATTCGTGTTCTTGAGTTGATTTATGAATTTTGCATTTTATGTTATTTCTCAGTTCAAACCTCAGTCTTGCTTAGAGTGTTTAGGATTTATTTTGCTTTTGTGTGCGAAAATCGATCTAGATTCCTAATCGCCTTTCTCGAGATCGACCTGAAGTCGAGAGTCGTCCCGTACTCAGTAAAAATATAATTTGTTACAACAGAAGGATGATTTGCAACACGTAGAGCCATCAAAATGGGTTTAAGCTCGCGGGCTGCCCGCCCCGCACCGCCAAATTGGGTCGAGATTTCTTGGGCTAGGAGTGGGCCTAAACGGTCCAGTCTGTGCTTGCATGACCGGGCAGGACGGGTGAGCCCGCGTGACGCGTCAATTATTGGAAAAAAAAAAAAGAGAAATATAAATGATTTCATAACTTGGCTTGGCTTTCTCATTTTCTTCTCCAGATCGTGTCCGTGCCTCGCCCCAAACTCCACCAACGACCAAATCCTAAACCGATCCGCCCGTTCGCCGCCCTCGCCCGTTCTCCGCCCTCCTCCCTTGCCGTGCGCCGCCGTCGGCCGGCGTAACTCTCAACCGCCTGCTGACCTACTGGTAGACTCCCACCAAACGGTCCAAACCTTCGCCCTTTTTGACGACGGGCCTTATTCCTCTCGTATCTCGGCTCTTCGGTGGCAGTTTGCAAGGTACTCTGTAATTTCCTTTGTATCTTTTGCCATGGATCCTTAATCCTTTACTTATACTTGATCAATTGGAACTTGGAAGTCTTGGTCGCGAGTGATGTGAATTGAGTATGTGAGGTTTGAATTTGATGAATCAAAAAATTCATCTGGTGTGGCCCGTGGGTTCTGAAATTTGTGAATTCATCAAGCAAATTATTTGTAACTAAAACATTTTTTAATGGTGGGCCAAACCAGCAGGCCGAAGCGGGGGCGGGTTGGGCCTGAATTTCTTAGGCCCGCCCTGCCCCGCCCGCTTGGCCGTTTTGACAGGGGTGCAAGATAGGCATGTGTAGCTAGAGACTATTCTAATATTTTATTTTTATTTCAAGCTTGGGTTTTGCCTTTCCTAAATGTGTGTGTAGTTCTGCTTGTATAGGAGTCTGGGTTGAGCTTATCAGGTTGGAATGTCGATATTCGATGGACTACCCATTTCGCGAGATAAATCTGTGAGTCTAGTTTTGTTTTTCCGATTTTCCTTTTGTCAACTGGCTATGTTTTTTTTTATTTGGTGTGTTTCGTCTATATTTTCCTATAAAAGAAGTCCTAATAATTTGTTGTATTTGTCCAGAGTATTTAGAGATGTGAACTTTGTTAGAATGGTGACAATTTATTTGTCTGGTATTGGAATACCACCCTAGGGTTTTTGATAGAATGCAATTATCAGATTACACTTTAGTCTTTTTTGGTTAATATTATGAGCTTAAGTATTGCCATTCTTTGACTCCAGCGCTTATGCTCATTGTCTGTGGCATTTATGGTTATCATTTATTTAAAGATTTTTATACTTGGCTAAATCTGTTTGACTCTATATTCAATTGTTTAAATGAGTCCTTTATGAAGTTTCTGAATTAATTTTGAGAGGCGCTACTTTTATTTTGGTTACTTTTTGGTGCACAACTTAGATTATATTTGTTCATATTGGTCCGTGTTCAAATATAGACACATGTCCATGCAAATACCATAGGAATGAAATGCTTAGTAAGTGAAGATTTGGTTTCCAAGCATCACCAGTTATCTTCTGTGGCAACAGTTAGTAGCCCAGGGGTGTGCCTGCGTTAAATTATTGTTAAGACTTAAGACGCTGAAGATCTTTTTAATGTGTTTAGTAATTGGGAAAATAATTTGTGTGCCAATACAATTACATAAGTTTTAGGACTTTTTGTTGTTTAGATGAAAGATGGTTATTTTATTTTACAATTTCACCTACAGAGGTTTCTCACTGGGACTATGGGCATTTTTAAATTCAATATCTGGTGTTCTAGTTCTAGTGAGAACTAATCCTTTTGTAGGAGCTAAGCACCCTGCTGAATTATGTTACGCGTCATGCTATTTTTATTTGGATTTAATGCTTTATAAATGCTAAATTTCTAATCAATGGTTTCATAATAATGGCATCACATTGCTGGAGTTTTTATTTTATGCAAAAATAGCTTCGCATGTAATTGACACTAGTAGCATCACATATAACTTATGTAGCATTGTGGGTAGGTCTGATACCAAGACTTGGTTCTCATTTGATCTACTTTCATTAATTGGGAACGCCATTTATACTAATTCTTTATTTCTGTTTCTTGGTGAATACTCACGAGCATGTTAAAATAAAGTTGCCAGAAAGGTTAACTTTGATCTCCATGACACAGATAGTGGGATATAATTGTGTTTGACTTTTCTCCAATTTCTTGGAGTCTGTAGACGACAATATTAAGTACTTTATGTGCAATTATGTATGCAGGAAAAGGCATGTATAAGTGTGATAGGACTGATTATAGATTTGTTGAAAGAGGCCTTGAAAGGCTTCAGAGTTGCACTTCTATGGATTTTCTTTAGTGTCCACTGTTTTACGAGGAGAAACTTTAAGTTCATAGGTGGCTGAAGTATATCTTGATCATGAATGTTTATGTATAATTTGGATGGGATGATGGATGGATGCCTTCATTTGTTTTGGATTTAGTGAATAATTCTATTTGTACATCCGTGCTTTGGCATCTATACAAACCCCTTAGTCTCCGCCGTGTCTTTCTGTTTTCTCCCCCCCTTTTCCGAGATTTATTGTCTATGCCTTTTCACTTTCTACTTTAGGTTTTGGCAACTGGTATTACATGTTATGACGTCTATCCATGTTTCATACAATTTATAAATAAATTTCTGTATTTTGTATATTGGACATGCATATTTCTAATTTTGCTTCATTTGCAGTATCTAAGGGAAGAACTTGCTAAAATAGATGAAAGCTGGGCTGCAGCACGCTTTGATTCATTACCCCATGTTGTGCATATTTTAACATCAAAAGATCGTGAAGGCGAAGTGCAGGTCTTAAAGGAGCAGAGTGATATCATTGAAGAAGTCGTTGACGAAGTTGTTCACGTTTATCATGGTGGCTTTAACAAAGCAATTCAAAATTATTCTCAGGTTTCCATTAATTAAATATTCATTTCCCCTGCTGTATTGCGTGACATCCCTGGCAACAATCTTTCAAATGAATTCTAGAGTGTTTAGCTTGTTTGAGACAGACTGCTCTTCCTTATCATCTTAATTGTAGTTGGATGTTAAGGCTTGTTGCATTTCTTGAATGACGAAGTGAATATAGTAGTCATGGCTATATATCATTGATATTTGGAACATACCATAAGCAAAAGTAAAATAAAAGCTTGGCCCAGAAATTGATATTAAAAATCTAGCCATACCAAGCAAACAATTTTGAATAACATTCTGAACATTCATGTGTATTAGGGAAAAATCCTTCTGATGAAAATTGAACTGTGATATTTATTTTTATTCTCATGGGAGCAATGGACAACACTATTAGGTTTGAACTTTTCTCTTGCTCGACTTAGAAATTCTCTAAATCTGATCAGCGTGGTCAGTAGCAACCATTTTTTTCCACCCTTGTATTCGTGCAAATCACTTTAATGTTGTTGAGAATTAACTGCTTTAATTAGAATCTAATTTTGAGATGTAACACCATTGCAGTGGACATTTAATTGCTGTTGAGGTGAGTTAACAGCACACTGAACCCAATTTTATTCTCACTCTGTCACAATCAAGTTTTTGGTTTGTTGGAATCATGAAGTCATCTTGCAGAATATCGTTAGAATAGTAGGATATACAAGATAGGCTTCATTGTGCATTTCGGAAAATAGTTAAGTTGTCTAATTAGAATTAATTTATAGACATAGATTTCTATACAGAAGAATCCGATTTCTCTAGCCTTAACAATATTTATATTTGTAATTTCCGCAAGCGCTTAAATTTATTGATGCTACGTTGGCTTAGAAGCTGTATATTCACGTACTGAAAATCATTCGCTGTTGCATAATAGTTTTAATAGTTGTTATCTCGTGTTGAGTGGTGACTATTGGCAATTTGGCATGGAGAACCCTCCTTGTTTTGGTAGTTATTTCTCATTACTATTTCAAGAGTTCTTGTAAGAATGAAAATGAAATTTCATCATGCTGTGAGCAAGTAGCTGTTTCTTTTTGCAAGCATTTCAGTTCTTACTTATAGTTGATGTGAAGCTTAGCTAGCTGACTCTTGCTGAGATGTCAAGATTATCGATGTTATTTTTTCATCCTCCAGATTCTTCGGTTATTCAGTGAATCTGCTCAAAGCATTGGAGCGTTAAAGGTTGATTTAGGTGAGGCGAAGAAGCTTCTCGGTGCTCATAATAAGCAGTTGCATCAGCTGTGGTATCGATCCGTAACTTTGAGACACATTATTGCTTTGTTAGACCAAATCGAAGGCATAGCTAAGGTTAGTACTTCTATTTATACAGTACTTCCGTTCAGTCGAAATGTATGTGACGATTATGGTTGCTTCCCCATGCTGCGGGTGGGAAAATGAATGAAAAATCATCTTCATTTGGCTGTTAATTAATTGTGCCGCTCACTTTTATTATTGTTTTCCATCTTATGTAGTAGTCAGTCATTACACCTTAGTGTTTGTCTTGTGCGTTAAAATGTCTTTATTGTTCAAACCTTCTGTATTGCTCTAAGAGAAGATAAAGGAATATAACACGTTTCTTGATTATTCTATTTTCTAGCTTATGTTCGAGAATTTATAGGTAAGGCCCACTTATGCATTCGTTTAGATGTTTTGGCATGTAGTTTTCGTATGTGCAGTTGGTCCACCACTTGCAATACACTCTAGCACACAATATGTTAACTTAATGTTTCTAAAGATTGGATGCTTAACCCGCCTCTTAACTCATTATTATACAATGAAAGATACCAGTGATGCAAAAATGTGATGTTTCTTGTTCTATTGAACAATAAGAAAATAATGAGCCTATATTGACTTTGAATCTATTCAAAAATTCAATTTGTACTACAAACTCGAATGAATTCAAAGCGGTGTTATATGTGTTGTTGGAATATCACTTATGAATTGTTCCCATTGATTAAACAGGGAAAATGAGCCTATTTTATAAGCCTAGTGAGTTGCTCTCCCATTATCAATTATTAATTATTGGTTTTGGGATGGAACCTCACTCTAAGGTTCACTCTAAGGTTCTAAGGTGGTAAGTAGGCTCGCCCTTTTGAGGTGCGCTTCACCGATATGGAACCGCAACCCTTCCACCGAATATATAAAATCTAAGCCCTTCCCCCGAATGTATAAAATCTAACATGGTATCAGAGCATGTTGATACATATCTATATTTAAATTTCCATATTTTAGTTAAGTTATTTAGGGCTAGAATAAGGTGTTCGCCTGACTTTTGCTTAGGAACCCTAAATTATTTTATTTAATTAGTAGGTTTTAGGTCTCTTAAGAGGGGGAGAAAGATAAAACAAAATAAAGGAGCCTTAGGCAGGAGCAATATGTTTGGCGCTTGCTCTTGGGGAAGGCTCCAATTGTTGAGTTCTTCCTGTTTTCTCTCGTTTTCAGGTAATTATCAATGTTATTTTGAATTTCTTCTCGCAATCCGCTCTTTTCTCTATCAAGTGGTCCTACCTGTTCCTTGTATGCAAACAAGGATGGACGGCTGTTTGGAGAGGGTGGAACAACGTTTGGAGATGATGGAAAAGGGTCTTGACGAATATGTACCAAATTTTCTTCCATTAAGGCAATGTTCGCCGCCCTTATGAAGAAGAAAATAGCCTCCACTAAGGCTGACTTGTCTCAAACCACGATCCCGACCGCCGCGTTTTCTTGGCGGTGAAAAATTGATCTCCCCTCATTCGACGGATCTGACTTAATCGATTGGATAGCCCTAAAATTTTTAGTTCACCGCATTCCTATGGTAGAAGAGGTTTCAAATGTGCTCGTCGCTATGTTGGGGACGCTTGGACGTATTATTTTGGATTCAGGGTTAATGCATTAATTTTTTGACTATCGCTTGCCCTGCTTCGCTTCAGCACTCGGATAGCTATGAATGCCTATGAGGTTCTGAAGGTTACTCGACAAACTGACTCTATTGACGACTATATTGCTGAATTTGAAGCTTGTGTGGTTTGGGTGCCGGATCTGCCTGACCCTCATTATTTAGGCCAGTTTTTGGGTGGTTTACGCGAGGATATTCACATCCGTATACAACAGGATCCATCCATTAATGTGTATGCAGCTATTTGATTGGGTCACCAAGTCGAACACGAATTGAATTTCCAGAACCATCCACCAGATAAAGAACAACCACGTCCCTCCAATTTTTTGTCCATGCTGACCCGCCTTAGCCGACCACTCAGCGCTCCACCATTCTCGACACAGGTTCAACAGGTTTTATAATTATCCTCGGCTCCTTCGACCTCTTCGAGGTTGGGTCAGCCTAAGCACATCATCTATAACCTTGTAACCTATCCATTGCACAATTATCGTGAGCCTTCCTTTGCACAATTGTCGTGCAAAATCCTTGAACGTGATAATTAAAAGCGGATGTCGATGAGGTTCTCTTCCCCAGAGAGTTTGGATAACTTGACATTTGTAGCTTGGGTTTTCGGCAATATAGCCTAGAGGACAAGGCTGTTATGACCAGGAGAGTATTGACGCGTATCTATATTTAAATTTCCATATTTTATTAGGGCTAGAATAAGGTGATGGGCCAGACTTTTAGGAACCCTAATTTGTTTTATTTAAGCAGTAGTGTTTAGGTCTCTTAATTTCTGGAGAAAAAGAATAGTGGAGCCATATCTTGATTGGTGTTTGCGCTTGGGGTAGGCTCGCCTGTAATTGTTTTGAGTTCTTTTTGTCTTCTTTCATTTTCAATTCATTATCAATTTGAGTTTTGAATTTCTTCTCGCAATCCGCTCCTCTATCACAGGCCTGAGCTTGGATCTGTGATGACTTGATTAACCAAGCCTCTGGGATGGTTAAAGGTTAAAGGACTCACAAGTGAGGGAGTGTGTTGGAATAACACTTGTTATGAGTTGTTACACATTGATTAAATAGGGAAAATGGACCTGGTTTATAAGCCTGGAGCTATCTTCCCATTACCAATTGGTTTTGGGATGGAACCTAACTAATATGGCAACTAGGCCCTCCCTCTTGACGTGTGCTTCACGCCGTCATCCCTATGGGACAATACCCCTTCCCTGAATATATAAAATCTAACATCTAACATGAGGTTTTTTGCAAGATTTGGATCATGTTTTCCTCCATCACATGCTTCCTCAAAGATTATTGTTTAGAGCTTTGTGGGAGTTGGGTGTACAGTGTACTTGAGTAGTTGCATATCCTCTTCAAGTAAATGTGTTAAGGGTTTTGTTGTTCTAAATGTCAACTTTTTGCAATGTGATATCCCCATGCAATCTTTTTGGTCACTGACTTGGAAGGAGAGAGAATTCTTGAAGATATGAAGGTCTTTTCAGGGTAGGTGTATAGGATTAATTTAAGTGCGCGTCATTTTCCTCTGACGATCAGGAACTTGTTTGCATATGAAATTGGCAGAGATTAGAGTTGTGTCCTGATGGTTTATTGTTCTGCTTGCTTTTGCACATCAAACTATAGTATAGTGTACCATTCAATCTCTTGCAGTTTTCTGCTTTTGCAGTTACTTGATGTATTTAAAAAATGCGTAGGTACCTGGTCGTATTGAAAAGCTTCTTGCTGAAGGACAGTTTTATGCTGCAGTGCAGCTACATGTTCAGTCAGCTTTAATGCTTGAGAGAGAAGGTCTTCAGACGGTTAGCTATTTCTGTATTTTTATTTTTTAATCTTCCTTATGCAAGATTTTTGTCAGTCTTCAGTGATCAAATTGAAAATCCTCCACTTTCACAATAAAGCTACTGGAGTTAAAATTATTTAGTTCTTTTTGTTGGCTGCTAAAGGGGTTTCTGTGTAAGTAATTGTTTGTTTGGGCCGATAAATGAATAATTAACCCAAATAGTTTCTATTGCAATGCTGATATAATCTTGACTGTTATCGGAGTGGTTGAAATGCTCAAATGCTTTTAAATGCTTTCACAACGGCAATAATGGATCTAGAGTGGGTCTTCTTCAACAAAGTAACTTCTCCAGAATATTCCAAGATTTTTTTTATTTATCGCAATTTTGTGTATTTCTTCAGATCATTAAGAGTTGCTGTTTCTATCAAAGAAATTTAATTTTCTTACACATGATGATAGCCTAACGAGCATGGGAAACAAAGATAATAGAACGTTCATGAGGATAAGATGATATTGTAATTTTGAATTAAATAATGATGTGTTCTGGCTCAAGTTGAAAGGAGAGGGTATGCTACTCATGAACTGCCTGAAGCTGATGTTCTATCTGGGCCAGGTTGGTGCTCTTCAAGATGTTCGGTCGGAGTTGACAAAGCTGAGAGGAGTAATCTTCTATAAGGTTTTGGAGGACTTACATGCTCATCTGTACAATAAGGGTGAATGCAGGTACTTGGGTTTTTCCTGACTACAAACATAAAACCAGGAAACATTCAATTATTGTTATTATAAATAGAGGAAAATGATTTTGGCAACTTAAGTGTGCCTGGTTTACACATTGTACCAAACTATTTTCTTGATTCTGTGTGCACCCAAGTATTCACGTTTTACAGTTTATTGGGGTAGCTCCATATTACAGAATACTCTGCTGCTTTTACATCATGTACTAAATTTTGCACATTGCCATCCAGACTAGGTTTAGAGTCTAGACAAATAGTATACATAAAATCTAGAAAATATATGGGGGTTCAACTCTTTCATTTTTCGTGCTTACGAATACAGAGGAGAGAGCTTCCATATGCCATTTTGTTGTTGTCTAGATCCTCTTGTTTTTAGTTCCCGAAGATCAGATTTTTTTCTTTGAAGATTTTACAATGTTTTTCACCATTTTCTACTGTAAGCTGATTTCTTCCTCTTGAATTCCACCTTTCCTTGTGGCAGCTCAGTTGTTTCAGGAATATATGAAAATGACGATGCAATTCTAACATCCAGAGACACTACATTTTCCATGAATTATTCACGCTCTCTCTCTCGAAGGACCAGGTTGCTGAAAGGAGACAATAATTTTGGAACTCATGTTAATGGAGATGTATTGTACAGACCTGGTTCAGTTGATGGAGGGTGAGGCAGAGTCTTATTTTTCCCATGCATTCTTTGTGTTAGATTCTTTTTTAATTTTCGTTCCTATTTCGGTCTTTTGGAATATATTTTTTGTCTGCTACGTTTAATAAATTAACTTTTGCTTTCATGTCTCGCTAAAACTATTGGCACGGGCCTTCCTCTTCTTTTTAAGGTTCAGAAGCTTCATGTTTTGTAAATACATTCTCCTGAAATGGTTCATTTAAATGCTGATCTGCAGCTGCTATAGTCTTTCAGAAAACAACTTGACCATTTATCCGATAATTCTACTAAATGGGATATTAAAAAAGCAGGGAGAATGTTTCTTGATTTTAATTTGTTGTGGCTGCTTTATCTTCTTTCTCATCTGCATATCCCCAAATCAGATGTGCCCAACACCCATAAAGAAATGATAAATAATTAATAAAATTTGCATTCATAAAGTGCTTGTGCAAGACCAGGTACTCTACTGTAAACTTGCACAGTAAGTTATATCAGAATCTCTTGATGTCGGCTGTTCCCGTGTGTGCGTCTCACTTAATCATTCGATGATGTCAGTGAGGATGGCACAATGGAAACACATGATGATGCTACATCCAATGGATATACTCCTTCAATGAGGACAAATGGTGGTGATAATAGTGGGAAGGATGCAAAAGCTGTTTCTCGTCAAATTCCCATGTGGTTATCAGATTCCACTCCTGACGAATTTGTTGTATGATGCTATACTTACATTAAAATTGTTGGGTTAGAATTGTCCTATTAATCAAAATGAGCTTAATTGCCTATATGATTTCAATGCAGGAAGCAATAAGAAAGAGTGATGCTTCTTTACATGTAAAGTATTTACAGACTATGGTTGAATGCCTCTGCATGCTTGGGAAAGTTGCTGCTGCAGGTGCTATAATATGGTATGTTCTCAATTTTATTAATAATGGAATTAGTTGATATGCAAATTCAGCCTAGTGACAGTCTAAGTAGCTCAGCATCACTTTCTTGAATGTCATTTGGGGTACAGAAATAGGTTCAAAATAACATATTGTGAAATGAAATTGGAGAATGGTTCAAAACCGTTAACTAATTGAGCTCAATTTCTGTCTAGTTTTATTCAGAAAATTGAATAATGAAGAAAAAGGTTATGGAATTGGAAATTTGTGAACCATAGACACTGGAATTGACTACTCACTATAAAGTTGTTTACTTGATTTTTTTCTGAGCAACATTTGTTTGTTAAATATGAGTAAAGGAATCATGAAATATACCAGAAATAAGATACTTGATATTCTTGTTTATCGCACACTTCTATTTTAGAGTGAACATGTGAGACAAAGTCACTTAAATGCTCCTAAGAGAGCTTCCTTTTTATGTATGGTATAGCATTGCTTAGGGATGTGTAGATAAATGGTCGTAGCAAATCCCAAATAGGTCCATGGGTAGCATTTCTCTTCAACATTCTGTCCTCATCACATCAACGTGGCTAAAGACTCGTTATTCTAAAAATCCAATTAATAGTAAAATTAAGTCATTTGATTTGGGTGAACTGTGGAAGCTTTAACATCTATATGTTTTTTATTATGTATTTTAATTTTTAATGATCTTAAATTTGGGTTAGGGCTTACTGTTCGTATTGGAATTGAAGGTAGATCATAAGTATTTTTGTTGGAAACTTGGTACAATGTCCTCAAGATTCAAGAAACTTGAGTTTCATTTTTTTGCTTTTTCCCCCTGGTCAGAGTTTTGTTTCTTATCAATAACAATTAATGTCCATTTCGGTCCTTCACTTTGCTGATATAATATGAATTTTACTGATCTTTCAGTTATGCTTTTTCTATCCTTCTTCCGTTGGAACGTGTGTTCTGAGAAACAGTGGATTCAACTTATAATAATCGTTTATGGATTCTAGCTATACGTAATGGGAACTATATCTAGTGACATCACATTATCTACAGGGAGTAATTTACTAATGCAACATACATGAATGAAATTGAGCTACAGCACTGTTCATTGTGTGGTAAAGGAAGGGTCACACTATTGATATGATTATATATACCTATTGGTATGAAATGAAAATTATTTTTATGAGTATATTTAACCACAACTGAGTCCCTATTTTGACATTAATTATTTAAACTACGAAGTAACTGCACATCTTAGATCATTTTTTCAGTAGTAACTGCACATCTTAAATCATTTATTTCTGCAGTATGCTTGTCGAATCTTGTTCCATAACTCTGTTGCTTGTCTCACATCAAACTATTTCTTTTCTTTCTTTGTGGTCGGTGCTCATAGCCAAAGATTGCGTCCTACTATCCATGAGATTATTACTACCAAGATCAAAGCACAGGCAGGATGTTTCAATGGGGCGAGGCCTAGTCTTGGCCATGCTGCCTTGCCTACTGTTGCAGCTCTACACTATCTCAAAGGGCGGCTAGAAAGTCGACATGTGCCAAAGCAGAAACGTCAGAATGGGGTTTCACTCTCTGGAGCTTTAACGACAGTGAGCCCTGTCTCCCCTGTAATGTCTCCAGCTGGAGCAGCTCAAATTGCAGCTCAAGAACTTCTAGACTCCATATTAGACACGGTTGTTAAGATTTTTGGTAGGATTATATATCAAGCTTTTGGTAGTTACATGTTTTTGTACTATGCTGCCACCTTGATTTTCTTCAATTAATGGTTATTCAGAAAACCATGTTATTGTTGGTGAGCTACTCGAGTCGAAGGCTTCACAACAAGTTAACATGAACACTCCAAAAGCAATGGCTGCTGATGTCAGTTGGAGTCACGATTCTGATGCTTCTCATGATACTGGTGGCTATACAATTGGCTTTTCCTTAACTGTTCTACAGGTTCTTCTGTTTACGTGTTAATTTGGATTGTTTGAACCTTACTGAAACAAATTGCCGATAGAACATTATCTAATTATATTATATCGCCATGCATGATGATAGAGTGAGTGCCAACAACTAATATGTGAAATCTTACGGGCAACTCCTGAGGCCGCTTCTGCTGATGCTGCTGTTCAAACTGCTAGACTCGCCAGCAAGGCCCCCTCTAAAGATAAGAGGCAAGCATTCATGGGTCTATTTTTTCATCTGATGTACTCCTGCATCTTATAAACGTTTCCTTCTTGTGGTGCTTATTCTTCTACCTTGAAACTGTGTGCACTTCGTAAGAAAGTAATATAGGTTGTACATATAAATGTAGATTTATAGTTCATTTCGTCTTAAATAAATTTTATAATTATATTGTCTACTTTCAGTTAAAATTTAGAACATGAGAAAATATGTAAGAGACTATTTAGAATATGGATTAACAACATGTGAATGATATTATTTAATTTAATGCACATGACCCTTACAAATAATATAGAAAATGAATCTTGATTTCTTGTAGCAAAAAATATGGAAAATACTAAAGATAGCAAAGATGTTTTGAGAGGAAATAATACCATTTATAGACTTGCCCCAATTAGTATATATAGATTTTGTGGTTTTGTGCCTCTGGCCTTTTTTGCCTATTTGGCTATTTGCACAAGTGCAATGCTGGGTTGCATGTGCTATTTTTAAGTGTTAACAGTTTATTTTCAAGTGTAACTGCTTATACAGTGTTTGTAATGTCCATCTGACAATCCATCTGACAATCATATTAGTGCAATACACGTGTACGAGCACAACCCCTTATGAAAATTTTAGTACAAAATTATTGTGCTGGATATATTGGAATTTTGGAATTACTGTGGAAATCACGCTGCTCGGAGATTAATGACATTAATGGTGTTAGTAGTTATTTGTCGGAGGGGCTGTTGTACAGATTTTGCTAATTGACATATATTGCTGCTTTGACAGATCTAGGCACTTTCTCTTTTGGAAACGATACCCTCTGGCATCATTCTGGACATGTGTTGAATTTCCTTTTTGAATTAATAACTCTTGCTATAGCTACAAAATAATGACTGTTGCTTGACCAATGGCTTGTAGGGATGGATCAGAAGATGGTCTCACCTTTGCGTTTCGCTTTACAGATGTTACTAGTGTTTCCGTTCCTAATCAGGGTATGAGCTAGCTGTATGATTTGTTTGTTTGCCACTGTTGGAAGCTGTTCTTATATATTACTCTCTCCTGTATGCGAGCTGAGTGGCCACGTGGTTTCTGAAATTTCATGGATGACGCTTTGGTATCAATTTCTTGTTATCTGACGTCGTATTAGTGTGTCAACATTTATTATCTTCTGCATGAATTATGCGATGAATGCAGTTACTATCGTTTGGTATCATTTATCCTTTTCTTTTGTAGAATTAAAATCATTCATGTTCTGACACTCTATAATGAATTAAAAAGAATCACTCCATTTGTAACTACGATGTTTCTTTTGGATCTATCTTGTCACTATGTAGAGTCTGAATTAAAAGTGTTGGGGTGTCTACACTGTTATTCAGCTAACTATGATATATACCTTGAGTTTATACAAACTTATTATCTTTACCCTGAGCTTCTAGCTCAACTGCTTATTAATTACCGTCTGCAAGGGCATTCACTAGGGTATACGGTGGATTTATGGTTAGCTTTCACCGTCATGCTTGGGAAGGTGTAGATATGAAGTTCACACAAAAGAACTGTAAAACTTGTAGCTCTTCGGTTGGATAATGAGGTCTAGTGCATTTGCAGTGTGAAGATGTCTCAGGAAATTTAATGTCCATGTAGAATCCATGTTGATGTTTCTGCACACATTGGCTGTGGGGAAAGTTTACTGTCTCTTAGTGTAAAACTTGTCATTGTGGTTCAGCTTTCCTAACTGTGCTGGACTCGTAGAAATGAAGTGATCCATGTGGTTCTTATTGGAGAGGCAGTGATTCTTTTCAGCAAATATGATAGGGAATAAAATTCCACATATATACAGTTATTGAACCCCAGTCCTAGAGTTCTATTAGACAACCATGCTTAACACCCAAGGAGTATTTTGATTGAATGGGGCAAAAAGATCAAATAAATATCTAATGACTACTCTGAAGGTCCTCAGGCCAATTTGCCTACCACTAATATCAATATTCAGATCCGTCCTCAAACTTCCAGCCACCACTATATATACTAACCCTTGTAGTTAATTATTAGATCTTAAAGCCCATTTACGTGCCCACTGAATTAACTAATCTTATCAACTGAAATAATAAAAAAAACATGGCCTGCAACTGAGATCCAGCAACAGGAGCGTCTTCGAGAATAGACTCTTAGAAATCGATCTTTAACATATTTTTCTACCTGCTTGACCTCTTCAATCTGTCCTTTTCTGCTGCAATTTCTAGATGACCAATTTTCTCCACATTGATATTTTTTATTGATTTTTGCTTAGGGGCTGACCTTATCCGCCAAGGATGGAGAAAGGGTCCGAATGCTGTCCAAGAAGGTTATGGTTCTGGAGCAGTGTTACCAGAGCAAGGCATATATTTAGCAGCATCAGTTTACAGGCCAGTACTGCAGGTATAACTAAGGTGGATGCGAAGAGAAGTGTTGTGTTTATGATCTATTCTTTGGATCATCATGACTGCAACACTTTGTTCAGTTTCCTTATATCCTCCGTTACTGTGCAGTTTACAGATAAAGTTGCATCGTTGCTTCCTCAAAAGTTTTCCCAACTTGGGTGAGTACATCAAATGCTATTTTAGACTTGTTTAATGTGGACAAACATTACAATGACTCTGTCTGGTGTAAACATTGGTTTTTATTTTCTGGAGTACCTCAGAAATTTATATGCACATGCCATTACAGACATCACACGAGTTCATGTTGTAACAAAAAAACTGTTATATTTGGGTGCACCTGGATATATTTTTAAACTCATTTACTTCCACCAATCAAAAAATATATTCATCCATATTTTCTCCACTCAAAATTTTCAATACAATTTTTAAATTAAGAATCAAATACTGCTAGACATTTATTCATAAATTTAATATTCACCCACTCGCATATCCATAACTACCAATAATTATTTTACTATTTTCCCATCACATCACAATTAATTACTATTATTTATATCACATCACTTTACATTACAAAAAATCATTAGTTCGTTCACTATTTTTTTTTTTCCACCAACCATTTTTTTTCACCCATAAAACCATATCCAATCGCACCGGTCACTGGAATCAAGTATTTGGCCCAGTGTTCTGCATAAAATCCAACTCTAATGTAAGAACGTATATGATGCTAGAATGTTATCGGTATGTAGACCAAATAATAATGCAAGCAAAAGTTCCTAGACTCATGGAGATCAACATATAAGTTATCATGCTTGCATATCCATCATTTGAGTCTCAACAACTATTCCAATAATTACATATCCGATTTGACCTATGGACTAATATGCAGGCATACAATTCATCAACTGTGTACTGTGCTACCATCTATGTAGCGATGTTATTTTTAATCATTTCATTATAGAAGTAGCTTAGTTAATTTAAAAAAAAAATCAATAATAGTTAATTAAAAAAAAATCACTTATTATTGATACAATAGTATCATGCACAGTTAAATATAGCATCATATACAGTTTTTACAATTCTTGCACTTTGTTCTTAATTTTAATCATATACATATATGATTAAAATTGTTTAGTAGGCAGTGGCAGTTAGTGTTCTATGTGCGTTGTCTGATTTAATGTGGCTGCAGCATGGGGCATGGGATTGATTTTGATTCTCTACTGTTTTTTCTATCATCCTGTACTATGTTTCTCTTCATGCTAATTATTTGCCTGCAACTACTGAACCAATTTTGCAGCAATGATGGATTGCTTGGATTTACTGAGAACTTCGTGAAGGATCACTTCTTACCAACAATGTTTGTAGATTATCGGAAAAGTGTACAACAAGCCATATCAAGCAAGTCTTTTCAACTGCTTCTTTTTTTTTTTTTTTTTCCGCTTGTCNTTTTTTTTTCCGCTTGTCATTGATGAATCTACTTGACATCCATTGTTATGGGGCTCTGAGGCGGTTAAAGATTCCTAATCAGCAATCATTATTCATGTCTGATTCTTAGTTTTTTCCTCTGAACAGGTCCAGCCGCATTTCGCCCGCGAGCTAATGCAGCTTCCTCTTACACTCCATCAATTGAGAAAGGACGCCCAGTTTTACAAGGATTATTGGCAATAGATTACTTGACAAAAGAGGTATCATGACGTCAGACATATCATTACAAGAAAGAAACAAAGAGCGTGACTTTTGTTTAGTCTATTCTCTACAATTTGTTTAGGTACTTGGGTGGGCGCAAGCAATGCCAAAATTTTCCAGTGACCTAGTCCACTATGTGCAAACTCTCCTTGAAAGAACATACGAAAGATGTCGAACTTCATATATGGAGGCATGGAAGTTTCCTTTTTTTCCTTCAGTTTTCTATTTCAATAGTTTATTTGAATTATATAGCTAGCATTCTTTTGGGTTTTGTCATGGCAACAGAATTGAACATGCTCGTACTCTACCTTGCATCTTTTTGGTCTCCTGCCGACATATTTGTCCTTTCAGAAATTCATTATACTTGAATTACCACAGTTAGATGATCATGTTCTTCGAATCCTGGTTAACAATATGGGAAGCATAGTCCTAAACTTCATTCATAAGATCAACTTCCACTTTTATCTTGGATTAGTGGGAAACCCTTCTCAGGTGCAACCTCTCCACCTAACCTTTCGGTAATTCAGGTGAATGAAGATACTAAATTAATCTTGAGGAAGACATTAATTAGTATTGACGACCTGAGAAGTTGTCGTGATTAGAAATGGAAGGAAACAGAAGGTTATAAAGTTCATTCTGCAAGACCATTGCATTCTTCTTTTGTTGTGAAGCATCAAATGTGGTCTTCTTTTAGTATTATTAATGTTTATATATGTTAATATATATATATATATATATATATATATATTTATATCATGTTTGAAATATCAGGCAGTTCTTGAGAAGCAAAGTTATATGCTTATTGGAAGACACGACATCGATAACCTGTTGCGACTTGATCCCGCCAGTGCATGTTTACCGGATTCTCTAAGCCAAAGAATCAGAGATAATGGTGCGTCTGATGCTGAACTCACTGAAGTAGAGGCACAATTAAGTGAGATACTGCTGAATTTAAGGCCTATTAGGCAGGTAATGTATGTGTCAGAGTATTGTCAATACATCTTTGAACACATAAATGGCGTGTGAGATGTCTTCATGATCTTACCGAATATTTAGCTTGTGTAGCTTATTATGATTTGACTTTAATTTCTGCAGGAGAATCTGATTCGTGATGATAACAAACTTATTCTCTTGGCTTCCTTGAGCGATTCCTTGGAATATGTTGCAGACTCAATAGAAAGGCAAGTGATCCTATCAGTTGGCACTCGTTAGTTTTGTATTCATTGTCAACCTTTGGCTCCTGTAGCCTTATATTTTAAATTTTCTTATTATTTGTGAACAGCCTAGGTACTTGCATTGTAACTATGTTGCTGTACTGTGTGATAATTCAGTTTTTTCCTTTTTCTAGGTTTGCTCATGTTTATTTCCCTCATTAGATTCATAATATTATGAGCTTTTAGTTAATTGTTTTGGGATATCCTTATGGAAGTATTCAATTGTTGACCTATTGGTTTTATATTGATGAATGTACAAAATCTAAATTCCCATTTCAGTTATTTTGTGGCAATATATTTCAACAAATGAAGACATGTTGAGATTGATTTATTTTTTTTTTTTTTTTTAAAAGAGGATCATAGTTGATTTTGAAGCAGTTAGAAGAGTGTGTTTCAGAATTTGTATGGAGGTGTCAATTATCCAATTAGGCTTTTTGGTGTCCATTTTTTTAACATTAAAAGGCTTAAGTAGTTAGTAAATTACAACTTTTCGTGATAACATGATCTTGGCCTGATACTTTCCATAGCCTTAGGGCAGCTGTTTTAAGTTATAATATGCAGGGGTTTTCCAGAATTGTTATGGTTTCGGCTACCCGATGGGTGATGTTAGCACAACTCTTGTTAATGATAGGGTCAATTCAAGTTCGTATATTGTCTACAATTTTGATTGTTTGAACTTAAAAATGTTGATCGAAATTGAGATGATTGGAGTTGGCATCCTGCAACTGATTCCAGAATATTTATATTTTCGCCCATCTTTAGGCATCTTACTTCCTGCTTCTTATGTGCTTTAGGCTAGGGCAATCATCTTCCAAATCTGATGATCATGTAGAAGATAATGAAACAAGGAAGCCCTTGAATCATGCCAGAACAAATAGTGCACCTTCTAAAGATCTTGCATCATTTTCTGAAGAATATAGAAGACTGGCAATTGACTGCCTCAAGGTTTTACGTGTAGAGATGCAGTTGGAGACTATTTTCCGTATGCAGGTGAGTGAAATCTATATCTTTTTCCCACCTTGAAGTTCAAAGGATGTGTCCCTTTGGCTACTTTCGTAAGGTAGTTGTCTCCATAGAAGAACTAACTCCTGTTGCCAAACATCTTTGTAGGAAATGGCAAAGAGGGAGTATTTGGATGATCAAGATGCTGAGGAGCCTGATGATTTTGTTATATCATTAACTTCAAAGGTGAGTTCTCATATCTAGATTTTTGTGGTACTTCGCTGGATGTTGGATTGTGATCATGCGGAAATACCTGTATATCCTGCCACTTGTTGCAGCTGGATCCAGTTTAACATAGCTTTCCATTCTTGATGCTTGTTTCATGTCCTATTTTGAGATTTTCCAGTACAAAAGTCCATGTTGAAAACATTAAATCCACATCCAGCGACATTTAATGTTTCTGGAATTCCACAAAGTTTGAGGAAGCATAAGTTTTTGGATATAAGCTGCAGAATGGTTCATCTTTTCATATCTTTCTTCTTACAACTAACATCTCGTGTATTTGACGTCATTCTGATGTCTATTTCGTCATAAATGCTTTAACACAGTTCATGTCATTTAGGGTTTCAATTATCAGAAATGTCATATTATCTGCAGCCTATTGAGCATTCTGAAGCTTTCAAGCATGAGAATATTCTGGTTGCTGTTTAAGAAGGGTTCTAGAGTCATCACCATACCAGTAGTTGATAAACTAACTTGTTAACCTTGAAAAACTTCTCATGTCTTCCATAGTTTTCAATAGTAAAGTTTTCACTATACATTTGCCCACTGAGATGAGTGATGTTATTAGAAGTAACTTGGTTCTACACGTTATTTGTTTTTGTTCGTGATTTCAAGTTTTAGTCTGTTCTACTTGTTTAAATTTGATATAGCATTGGAATTTGGAGTTGGCCTTTGTGTAACTTACAGATGAAGGTGCAAGTATTCTTTGTTGGATCATTAGCCATGTTCATAAGGGATCCTAATTTCTGAATTAAGGAAATAATTTAGTGGGATGCAGTAATTTATTAGTATGAAAATGATGTTACACCTTGTGTGTCATGTTGTATACCTTTCATGTCGTGTTATAGAAATTACTCCAGATGTTTAGATTGTTTGTGGGGGACGTCATGGTAATGAGAAGTAAAGCTTCTTGGTGGTTCAATGTCAAATGTAAGCTTTTTCGGGCGGAAGAAGAAGGAGGACCTCCTAGTTGTTTTCTCTTTTATTAATTTCATCTTTTCTAGCTCTTAGACTCATGTAGAGATGGAAATGCTGTATTCATTTCCACCTCCCTTTCATGAAATCTTAGGACAACAATTAAGGATTGATGTATGTGACAATTTATTGTATATCCTATCCCACTAAAATAAGCAAGCACATGCTGAATATTTCTTTTATGCGACATAGGTAACACGTCGAGATGAGGAAATGGCTCCATTTGTTGCGGATGTGAAGCGGAATTACATATTTGGGGGAATATGTGACATTGCAGCTAATTTGTCGATAAAGGTTTGTTGTCACTTGTGTTGGAATGTTGTTACNAAAAAGAAAAAAAATAAGGAAAAAGAAACAACAAACATTCTCTCAATGATCACTAAAAGCAACTGTCCATCCTTTCTTAGGCCTTGTCTGAAATGAAGTCTATCAACCTTTTTGGCGTTCAGCAGATTTGTCGTAATTCAATAGCACTGGAACAGGTTTGCTACTAAATACTCTTTCCTGCCCTCCAGCTGCTTCTAGGGAGTTGAAATACTCCATAGATGATTCTGCACTTTTTTTACATGTTGCAATACAAATTTTGAAATATGCATGTGACAAATAGAACTGATTTCTGACATGACATGCCGGATAATAGGCATCATGAAAAATGTGTAAGCATGTATTAGTAATCTCATAGGCATAGATGCCATTTGTTCAGGTACTAAAAATTTATGCCCCAATGATTAAGAGATGATCGTTTTGCAAATGATAAAGGCAACAGTTGGCACAACTAAATGGCGAGATATATTTGTTTCAATGGTTATCAGGGTTGGGTTGGGGGGCCACGTATTGTTCTCAATGAGTTCACACTTGAATTTATTTTTTATATTTTCTTTTCCCTGCATTCTTTAATGGGCTAGGCAGTGGTGAAGGGAGTGGGTAAAGCACTAAAGGAATAGATAGGTCTAACCTTTGAACCATAGTCATGCCAGTGAAAACCCTTGAAAAAGTAAGTACTACTTGTGCTAGAAGGTTGCGGTACTGAAAGTCTAGAATTTTATGCTGAGTTAGGCTTACTTTTTATATTCCCTTTTAAGTTTGTGTGCAAATGTATCAATGGATAAGTTATGAGAACTTGATATTACCATGAAATGGTGACTCTTATTCTTATAAGCATGCTTTGTAACAGGCATAACGCATGCTTTATATCAGGCTTTCACCTAGGTCTTTGCTCATTGATTTTGTTTCTTTTGTCTAATTAAGATAATAAGATCAAATCATTACCATTTATAATTTGTAAAATGCATGGCTTATGATAAGCATGAACAGGTGTAACTGATACTTTCTCCTGACATTTTTAGGCATTAGCTGCTATTTCATCAATTGATAGTGAAGATGTACAAATGAGGTTGGATCGTGTACGGACATATTATGAATTGTTAAATATGCCCTTTGAGGTAATTAATCTAATGCTTACTCATTTCCAGCAGTTTGACATCTCTCTCTCTCTCTCTCTCTCTCTCTCTCTCTCTCCCCCTCTTCCTCCCTACCTCCTTCCCCCACCCCCAAAGGGTGTGCTCATGTTTCCCTTTCCCTCACCCTCTGGAGCTCAATTGCTTGCTAAACGGGAGCTGTGTTGTTTCTTTTCCAGGCACTGCTTGCATTTATATCAGAGCATGAATACCTTTTCACAGCCGCAGAGTAAGTTTTCGTAACATCTAAAAAAAATTGGAAAGTCTAACAATTAAAGTGGAATATGATGTTGAGGTCAGACCTGATTACAAGAAATACATTTTTCTTTCGAAATTGCTAACCTCCTTTTATGATGGTAGCATATTCTTTAACATTTCCATACTAAGGGTACAACTTGTTACATAGAATAAAGAAAAACAATCTAGGGGATACTTGTAATTTTCGAAGTTGTGGGAGCTTTTAGTGAATTATTCTGATTTTCAAGGTGCAAAGTTGTTCCGAACTAAAATTTCGGTTGGCAGGTACGCAAATCTTTTGAAGGTCCATGTCCCAGGAAGGGAAATTCCTGATGATGCTCACGACCGCGTGAGAGAAATTATGGCTCACTAAGAATTTAGAATTCAGTTTTCATATGTAAATGCCCACTCATGAAGAGTAAGGTTATTAGACGAAATACGGAGAGTTGGAGACCTTGACCTATTCCTGAATGAAAAAAATGAAGTGTGGAGCAAATTTGTGACTTGATATCTCTTATTCCAGGTATATTTTGTGATTAATTCTTGTAAGATTGCAAAAAATATTGGGCCATCTCGATACTCGTTATTTGGTCTTTCTGTGTTCATCCCATGTACATTCGATTTTGTATCACTGTGCTTTTGTTTGGTTTATTTGTGGGTATGGTTCTGGGTAGATATGGAGTGATGGTTATTTATTGAATAGCTGACTTTGAATCACTTGAAGATGTGTATTGTTTTGAGACACTTGAAACAAAAAGAATGGAATCGTCTTTGGCGGTGAATGTGTAAATGTGTCCAACTATCTTCTTTATTGTTCTCCCTTATGGTCTCTGGTTATACATCTGCAATACTCTCTCTCTCTCTCTCTCCCTCTCTCTCTCTCTCTCTCTCTCTCACACACACACACACACAAATATCAATACATGGAAAAAAGTACTTCAGCTCAATTTATTATACTTGATATATCGAGTTTAAGACAACCAGCCAAGTTGTGATTATTCTGGACTGGGATATAAGTATTCATGGTAAGTTGCTGAACTTGATCTCAAATCAATTGCGCATTTCTGATTTTGAAGAAATTCCATGTATAGTATTTGAAAATGCAAGTAGTTAATCCATCATCCTTGTTCCAATTTATGATTAGTTTGTTTTTAAAATATATTTAAAAATAAAAGATGCCACTCTTACCAAAAGAAACATCGAAAATGTATTATGACCAGAAGTGGTATTTTTGCAAAGAAAAAGTTGCAGATTCCCTATATGATATCTTGTAACTTTTTTATGAACAAAAAATATACAAAAGAAAAAATCTGGTCAACTGCTATAACTGGCCTTAGCTCATCTACAATAGAACTATTAAGAGGCGATTGGGACCTAATGTCTTCACAATGTAGCCAACTTCGAATCTTTTACACAAGCTGGAATTCATAATTTTTTTTACTGCATTACATGCGTACTGCTTCAGGGGTTTGCAATGTAACCAATGAGCTCGTGCATGGAAATATGTTCATGGTCGGTAAAAATACATTTTCTTGTGTTTACTAGAGTATCACCAACACTATGACTATGAAAGGTTAGATTGAACTAATGATTGTAATGTTGGGAAAAAAAAAAAAGAACTAATGATTGTAATGCTGATCCAGATAAGAAGAACGTTAAAAGACTAAAAATTTAGACTGTTTTATACGTACCGTCGCTTTCTTAAAAATATATATTAATCCTGATTCTTATTTGCAATTATATCAAAACATTAAATTTTATTGCAATTATACCAACATTCTTAATTAATCTGACATTATAAATCTATTATATAAACATAATTTTTACGTTTATTACACTTTAATGTTTGATACATAAACATGATTTTTTAGTCATGTAACGAGATTTGATAATATAAATCTGTTATAAATTATAAATAAACTTAGGAGTTGGACCCCACATTCCTTTATTTAGGTCGACTCGTACCCTGAGCTACTGCATCGAGTTTCCTGACGAGTGACATCGAGGTGAAGTCCTTCGAATCAGTGGAACTCGAGCTTACTGTCCAGGCCGATTTACCGAGCTACCATGAATGCTATATCAGATATATTGTGCAAATTTTCTTTCACATGTTTATATCCCACCTTTCAAATATAGTAAATAAATTTCATTACTCGATTGATGGTATGATTTTCAAAATAATTTATCACGGCATCTAGTAGAATAGACTTTCAAGTCGATCACATTGTTCAATTTTCCAAATTACACTTGCAAACATATATATTTAACACAAATGGTGGCAACCAAGTCAAACAGCGTATCTATACTTATATAATAAGAATTAACATTTATCCAAAATAGTAGGGCAAATTATGGTCAATGTCGGATTTACATTAAATATTTTTCAAAACCGGTAAGTTTTTGTCCTTTTCACATTTCTCATTAATTATGTCCTTTTCACACTTCTCACTAATTATGTCATTTTCACACTTCTCATTAATTATGTCATTTTCACACATCTAATTAATTCATTAATTACGACATAATTATCATAAATCATTCCATCTGAGCTTTTATCGTTAAAATGTATAGCGATCTGTTATGACCTTATCCCATTGATATTTCCATGAAGCGTCCTTATCGCGTTCTATTTTTTGGTAACCACTCTATATCAATAACCGGATATTTGGTTAATGATAGCACACGTCTTTATTTCAAGGAGCGGATATTCTTTGACCTTTAATTAATCTGAACTGATTGCCTTGACTTTTCAATTTTTAAAAACTCTTTTTTTAAATATTTCGGCTTAAGATTCGGATTTCATTATAAGTCATCGGATTGTTTGAATGAAAATGAATGAAAAGAATACCAAAAACAGGTAGCCTTATTCATATAACTAATCCTAAAATATTAGTTTGTTCACCAAAAAGTTTGTTCACTAATCCTAAAACATTAGTTTGTTCACCAAAAATATTAGTTTGATTTTTAGGATTTGTCTCTTTTGAAAATATTAGTTTGTGATAATGAGGAGTTACCAAATAATCAAACTCATAATGTTGTGTACAAGGAGCTTTTTAATAATATATGATTGTTACCGAACTTTTTATGATTCAACAATGTTCCTATGTATTTTAATGATTTCAATTTCGATCCTAATGCAATGCACGTGAGGTTATATTATTCTACCAAATTTTACATTCCGTGCATTGCACGGGTTACGTACTAATTTAAATGAACCAATCGCTCGAATACACGACAGTTTTGAACAAGTTTTTGCCAAAACTCCAAGAGAATAATAAATAAATCATAATTCAACTCAAATAATCAAAATTAATTAAAATCCCCATGTAGATGCTCTCTCGAAAATTATGGTAGTTGGTGAAGCCAGAAAAAGCTGATTTGATAATTGATAAGGGTATTGTTAAATAACTGTGTAGTGATTAGTATAAAATGTGCAGTAATATTGCGATTAGGTCGGTGATTAGTATAAAATGTAGTAATGTACAGTAATGTTGTGATTAGGTCGGCGGATCTGATGATTAAATAATTATTTTAAAAAAAAAACTATAAATTTTATTAAAATAAAATATCATTCTCTACAAAACAATATAAAAAAAATATTAAAATTTTACAATATAGATATTTTTTTTAAAAAAAAAATGACATCAACCGGTGTACATAAAATATGTGAATAATAATTTATAAATAAATTATTATTAAGTCTCCATGGAGGAGGCCAACCAAACATAAATAAACATAAAATACTGCCACTCATTGTGTGTGATTGACTAAAAATAAGTTCTTTTTAGAGAGAGAAATTGAGAGACTGCCGCTGTCTGCTTACGTCAAACCAAGGCCTTTCCTTTCCCCCTTTCTCTTTTTGGATTTTAACAGTTATTTTTGTTTTGCATTTTAGCTCACTGAAGAAGCTAAAGATTTGTGATTTTTGAGCTGATTATTGAGGGATAAAGCAGCTGCAAAAACGGCGATAATTGTGGGAAGTGTTGGTTCTTTATTATAGGGCTTTGATGGTGGTTGAGATAGGTAGTCGTAATTGGGAATGAAGATGGTGTTTTGGTAAGCTTTGAGCTGTTCTTTTGGGTTTGGATATTTTGTTCTCCTTAGTTCTGTTTTGAGCCGTTTATTTGCAGTCATTCAGTTGTGTTTGGCAGTTTTATCATTTCTGAATTAACTTGATTTTCTGACTGAATTATTAGTTTGCCAAAAGGGGAAACCTTTTTAATCATGATGATTTTTTTTTCGTACAGCTTGCTTATATTGGACATTTTTGTT